TCTTTTTTTTACCTTTGTGCACAGTTGATGCCGTCTGACAAGAAAATTGTCAAGCACAGATTTGGCAGAACAGCTTACCTACAAGCAGACTAAGTGATATCAAAACTGACATTTTAAATGTTCAATGTTCTATTTCAAAGAGAAGTCGTGGTTTCAGTACAATACAGATACAGTATTTACAAAGTACCACACCCCAGCTTCAGGACTTACCCCACAACATGAGAAGACATCTACACTATGACTCATGCAATGAGCTGAAACAATATAAATGATTACATTATATAATTATATTGACAGAATTTTTAAACAATGTGTTTATATTTAAATGTAAAATGTTAAGCTAACAGCTTTTCTCCCAGACAAAGTGTCAGTTTTCCAGGGAAAAAGAAAATGCATCCCTGTACCAAACAGCGTTTTCCATTCATTTTCCACTCTCTCCGACTGCGCTCCGCCTGCTGTCATTTTATTTGCCACCTCATATCAGTATTCCTGTCCATTATTCAGCTCTATCCTCACCTTAGCACCCAACTGGAGGCTCTGGGGAGTTTAAGATATTTCCCCGTTGCTCCTCATATCTTCAGTATGTTACCTGGGGGAGTGATGGAATTGTAGCCTAGACACCAGACCCAATATGTTTTACTGTCAGTTACCAGGGCTACAAAGTGTATTTCCAAATCTAGTCCAACATCGGGAAAATGCATTTGCAATTTTTAGACAGGATCCCAGGCTTTTCTTTTCAATGACTTGTATATATCTCTGTACTAGTCTGACATATAATAGAAAATACAACTGTATGAATCAGTAACTGAACATGTGCATGTGAAATCGTCTGAAAAAGTAAATTCAATAATAATAATAATAATAAACAATTACTCAAAATTAACCTTCCCACCAGAGGGATTTATCCAGAGCATTACTGCTACAAACAGTGTTTTATAACGCCACCCTCTGGCATGGTGTAGGCACAGCAGGGACATAAGCTGTGTGTTTTAGTCCAGTTGGAACCAAATTTGCTCTAAATGCTCCGGAGCCACAGCCAGTGTGAATCTGAGCACATCACTCAGACACAGTGTAAAAGGATGGAAGGGAAGTGAAAGGTTTATGGAGACTTCCTTAAGAGATTTTCACATTAATCACTTTAAAAGGGCCTCTTTAAAAAGCGCCCCCTGCCTCTGGTCTGGTTAATGTAAAAGTTGTATCTGGATCAAGATGGACGATGCCAATGTTAGAGAAAGACTTTTGACTCCATGACAAACTTGCTGTCCAAATGAGGATGTCCTAGAGGAGCCACATATTTGGCACCTGCAAAGGGGCAACATGGAGCAGCAGATCTGCTGTTAACATGTGAATTTCCCAAGTGTGGGATAATTACAGTTCAAATTATTTTTAGTATAAAATATTTTATTCTGAGACTTTTCTGAACTGCTTCTGTGCAAGTCGTAATGCAACACTTTTATAATTAGAAAGGTTAAGAATATATATTTACACAACAAAATAACTGTAATGTAAATCAAACTTCTTCCACTTTCCTTCTCATAATCAAAATAGCTCGCTGCAGAACAGGCCGTGGTGCTGTGTGCATTCTGCATTCCTTTCAATCTGCTGTTAAAGTGAGCAGTGATACAGAGGCTAACTGATGACTCACAGAGAGCCGTGGTGAGAGGAGGAGAGGGTGTGTGTATGCATATTTATCAAGTGTGTACTGTGCGCCTGCGACAGACACCTTATTATTGATATTGTTCCTACTCTAGGTGTGAAAAAAATACGGACACCTTCAGCACTTTACCTGCCCTATCACATCCATTTTTCATCACAATTTTCCTACATTAAAAAACACAATTTAAGTCACAACCTCATTTTTTTTTTTTTTTTTTGCTTCTGTTTTTATTGCCAGTTATGGCCCCTTAACACAGCCCAGGGCGGTCTGCAGTGAGATGCAGGATTATGAGATTGGCCACCGCCATATATTTATTTAGTTTACTTATCTTGAAGTTGACACTGGCATTTGAATATATATAAATATATACAGTGGGGCTTCAAGATACGAGCTACCAGGAATACAAGTTTTCACAAGTCAGAAACTTTTGCAAGATTTTCCTCATGATACGAGGAAACATCGAGTTACGAGTGTTCCGCAGGGCTCCATTTTTCCACACAACACTGTCGCACTCACTGTCCCTCATCCAGCTCCATGTCAACACTAACTTCCTTATCCTTCACCAAGAATTATACCCACATTACTGCAAAAAAAAGGATAGGAAGTTCTAGGTTACTTTCCCAGTTAGACCATAACTTATTCAACACACTGCCCCACAGCAACACCACTTTACCTCTTGTAACTGAGCTGCAATAGTTCTGTCTTCAGAGTTGTCCTTAATTTGAATGAGGCATATTAGAAAGTACGTTAATTAAAGGTTTCTATTTCCTCCTCGTTTGAAGAGGGAGTTTAACCCCAGCATGAACTCCACAGATACAGAAGTTGTTTTTATGATGCAATAAAATCATCCCAAAAATATGTTGACTGTATTCTTCAGAGTTTATTTTCGAAAGTTTGACCTATTACATAATAGCATGTGATCAGTAAATGGAAAAAAAAAAACGACTCTATATAACCACGAAAGGAGGTCGGGGTAGAAGTTTAGATACAATATCCCAGGGTGATAAGTTTTAGAATAGATTACAGCAATTTTATGGGCTGTTGAAGTCACATTGTTCCCCCTCAACAATTACCATTAAAGTGCTCTCGAGCAAGGCGCCGCTCCTCGCCCCACATCTGCTCCAGAGCAGCAGGAGCGGAGGAAACTGCGAGGCTCGTAGGTGTGTGAGTGTGAATCATCCAGCAGGGAACTAAATGAGTTGGAAACAGCGTTACAATTCTTTATCTTACATTTACAGAAATTGACTTTTTACTCTTTTAAGCCTATAAATTAACTTTTTTCTTCCAAAAACTGACTTCACATACTGTAGATAAAATATATTTCCCTAATGTTAGGTACAGTTGGCTCTTTATTGTACAAAATTGCAGAGAAATCAGTATTGTTATTAACCATTAACTGAGGTGAACTTTTTTTTTAAAATGCAGAGTGTGGAGCAAGGTAAAGACGAAGGACTTATGGGTTGAAATGACGTACCGATGACCTCCTCTCTCCACTGCAGCTCCCTGCCCAGAGTACAGCTGGTAATTGGACACTTCATTTAAGTGATTTTCTTAGTTAAGGTTCCTTGTTAGATCGAGATTAAACTAATGGGGGTACAGTCACTAATGAGCTGCAGCCCCTATCGTTATTATAACTATCCATAACAGCTGCAGTAGCGCTATCAAGGTCTTTAGCCAGTGATATGAACATGGTGGCTCATCTGTGAGCTGACACTAAGCTAAGCAGTGAAGATATCTAAAACTATTAAGGCTTGGTGAAAGTCCTTTCAGAAAAATTAAAAATATAAATGATATTTATATATAATAAATGATCCATGTAGAAAATGTATGTAATGTACAAAACAATAGCATTTTGTTTTGTTTCAAAATCCAATCTATGTGTTTTTTTCCCCTTAGTTTCCAAAGATACATTTGCTTAAATGTATTTGTAACAGGGTATTGTATACACTAATGGTATTTGTATTTGTTAGACGTCTTGAAGGCCGAACACTCAAATAAAATGAGTCACCTATACCACAGTCAAACACTAAGGTGTGCTAAGATATTTTGCCCTCACAATTTTGGTATCCAATCACCAGGTTGGATGTCTCAGCCGGGCCAGAGTCGGCCTGTGGTCCTCCAGTTGATGATCACAGACGTACAAATGGAAAATGATGATTATTGTTGACAGTTAAGCCTTCTCGCTGCACACAGTCTGTTTTTGGTGCTTTATGTGCGTTTTGACCACACTGGTGTATAATTATGTTATATTTCAACAGCCTCAGTTTATCTTGGCTACAGCTGTTTGACCTGGCTGGATTTTCAGTGTTAGGTTATAATGACGCCCAGACCTAATTTAGAATGATTGGATTTGATGAAATAATGATTTCCATAATTTTCAAGTGCCTTGTCAAGTGGTCATTATTGGTCCAGCTTTAGTTCACATCCGTCATTTATTTCATTTTAGGACCATTATATATGCAACATTTCCACTTTTTCACACTTACTGAGTGACAGCAAATGGAATTCCATCACTTAGGGAATCACGTTTAATACACGCTTAAAGACAAGAGTTTCAGGATGTGAAGCTCCCTCGACCTCGGCACAGCTCAGAGAAAGCAGCTGATTCTGGACTCACAGTGAAACTGATCCTGATCTGTGCAACACAACCTTGGCTACAACCTCTGTAGAGTAAAGAGTAAACTAATGTAAATGTCAATTCTCGTTTGACAGTGTATACCAGTTGATGTTGGTTATTCAAAAGACAAACAGATAAAGAACATGAGGTAGGAGCACTGGAAGATACAGACAGACCAACAGACAGACAAATACTGTGAGGTGCAGTACAACTGTTGACGTGGTACTTGTCAGGTGTGAATCTGATTTAAAGCGACGGGTATGTGAGGCTGTTCAATCCATCAGAGGAACAACCTGGGCTCAATGAGCCCCAAATTAGCAGCCTATTTGCAGACCCCTGACCCTATTACATCACCACATATCACCAACTGATCAATGGTTTGACAGCAGGCTGAAACAATCATACAGTAGTGCAGCGACTGATAGTTAACAGACCCTTCATATACGCCTTTAACTCATTTAGTTTGGAAATATCACTGCTCCAAAAAGCTGCTGTATGACGTTCCCATCACCAGACTTATGTTTTATTAAATTCCCCAAAGCTTCTTCACTTTGTTAAGACATTCCATTCCCTCTTATTGTACAAAAGTATGAGCTGTTTTAAAAAAAGAAAAATCATTCCAGTGGCCTCGGGCTGGAACTGGTGGACTTTGCCAACAAAGGTGAACAGCAGGGCAGGATAGAATATTCTAGAAGCATTGACAACATTTACCATCCTGCGGCTTACCTTGTTGAACTGACTGACAGGGGAGCTGCTGCTGTTCATCGTGTGACACTTGAAATTCAGCAGGGATCCTCTCACAGCATCATCATCATCATCATCTCCGTCTGTGGATTTATCAGAGTGGGAGTGGCCGTCAGGGTTTGGAAAGGAGGTGAGCGGGCGTGGTCTCTGGTTCGCCGTGCAGGACAGACCGATGAAGTTAGACGGGTGGATTAAGAAGGCCTTCAGAGCTATGTTAGGAGACACCTAGGAGAGAGATGTTTGGAATTAGGAATGCAGCCGTTTGGAGACGAAGTGTCAAGAGTTGTACATTTTAATTGGACCTGAGGGAAATAAAGAAAAAACCTGTTTCTTTTTCTTTCTCTTCTGCACTACAAATATATAAATCAGAGAAGCTAAGCTCCTGGTTATCACTTCTCCACAAGATCGACAGTTTTACCTTAGAAATAACCTGATTGTCGGCGGTCAGAGCCAGGTCAGCGATACGCTCCACACACTGGACGATCCGTGTACAAGCCCGCGCTTCATTCTGGGCCATCCATAGAATATGCTCCTCCACCAGCATCATGTTGCTGGCGATGTCGGAGATGAAGTCCCCCAGCTGTGGACGGCACAATCAGGCATGTAGGTGCAGCATGTTCACAAAAAATTTGAGCAACAGTCCCAGTCTCACACACACGCGTGCGCGCACACACAGACATCATTAGGCACATCACTCACATCCAAAACAACAGGCCACATTTCTAATCTCCAGTCAAAATTGTGAGGGAGGCAATGGCAGCTTCATTCATTAGAGGGAGATTTAATTTAGATTAGCGGCTCCGATGGGACATAATTGCTTCTTTGACATGGCAGTTAGCTATTTACATTCTCTCCTTTTTATTGTTGCTTCATTTGGCTGTGCTTGATTGGACAAATGAGAGCGGTCCCCTCAGGATTATGGCAGTGATGTCGAAAATAAAGGTACGAAATACATCTTCCTGACGGTCGGACGAATGAGTGGAACAATCAGGTGGGTTAAATATAGGCCAGATATGAAGCAGGATGGTGGTAAAACATTAATGAATTGAAGTGGCCCTCCTTAAGCCTGTCCTAATGCAGGATTTAGAGAGAGGGAGACTGCTCATAAAAATATATATTTCTTCATTTAAATAAACTTTATTAGCTTTATTAGTTTTTATATTAGCACTTGATTATTGAAGCACACACTTTCTGGTAAATCTCACATAGAATATAAATAGTTTAAATAAAACAGTATGCATTAAATTCAACAAAATTGAATGTGTATTCCTTTATAGCGTGTAATGAAGTATGTAATGAAAATATTAAAATCCAATAATGAAAATACAGTAATAAATAATCTCTCACATCTCTACGTTTCTCCATCAGCCTCGTCAGTCTCTCCACCAGGTGTGTGACAAAGATGACATCCATGACATCTGTGAAGTGTGCCGCCCTGCTGGTGAACGAGACCAACTGTTGGCCCAGTGGCTGAGCATTGGTGGTATTAATTGTCAGCTAGGAATTAAATAAATGGACAATTTCATAGACCAAGATCACAAGGAATACAAGTAAAATTTAAAAGAAATTGAATATATCAAAATGTTTTATATTATATTATAATCAAAATGTACATTTCTATCAGACTATCAGTTAAATATGAAAGGTAAATATATTCAAAATAGGTTCATTTCATTTCATTTTATGTAACCTTACATAAACAGAACATCACATCTGACCAGAGTTCTCTTTGAGCATGTTGGAAATACACAACACACATTAAAAAATAATGGTTGGAGCTGAAAGCTGTGCAGAAACAAACATGCACTAATTCTCCCTGAGTTGTTTTCGAGTGGCGTCACAGTGTAATTCATACCTGGTTGAGCTCATGCAGCACGCGTGTTAGCTCACTGGCATAAGGGCACTGTGTGTAATCCTCTTCTGCCCACCGCCCTGTACGATCACAATGCCGCCAGGCTTTCTTTTCCCTCTGACGTGACGGGTTGGAAGCTCTGCCCGAGGGGTGAGGAGCTGAGCCAAAGGTGGCAGGAGCACAGGGCAGGAAGGCCAGGATCCCAGCCAGTGTCTTGGGCCACCTACCACATCAGATTATCATAATTATCAGGAGTAATGTGAACAGAAAATGTGCACTCACCAGATGGCACTCACCAACTCCCAGTGCTTGAGGATTTAGAAATTTGCATATTTGAGTTACAGCTTGCTCTAATGATTTCTGCGGAAGATTGCCAAAATCTGACGTCCGTTTGTTGGACTTCGGATTCTGTTGGCTTTATTAGGTCTTGCAAAAGCAAAATAAATTCCCCTCACACAGACTGAGTGCATACAGTTAATATAATCTGAATGAATATTATCATTTCTCAAACGCTAAAACTGAAAGCTTTCGTTGTCGTTGTTATTTTTGGCCAAGAGTGAGGCTTCATGTGAGAAGCTTAAATGTCTGGAACACTGACACCTGCTGTTTTGATGTTGATCATTTTCTTTTTATCACCCAAGTCCTACAGCTCTGTCAACATGCAGCGCTGAGCCAAATGTGTAGGTCTTTATTACGCATTTAAAAAACTAAACCTAAACAGGATTTAAAGAATATTCAAATGAGAAACCTGTTCGGCCATCGTTGGTAATTACAGGTCGATTCTGATTGGCCGTGCAAAGTTAAAAAGAAGTTAAAGCGACAATAGCCAACAATAACGGACAATACTGACCGACTGTTTAAGTGGCCAGGATGATTCCAAATTTGTTTTTTGTTTTTTTTGCTACTTGCTAGCATTGCTATTAAACACAGACCTAATAAAAGATAAAAGATGGCTAACCAATAACAGCCCACCTCTTTAACCTCCAAGGTAACACCAAAAGTAAGATTTGTTTCTCTCTGTTTTGCAGATTTAAAGACCCTCCTAAGAGGTCTGATGTTTACGATTACATTTCCTTCTGCACAGAAACGGTACAGTGTTTGAAATGTTACATCCACATTTCACAGGGATCCCTACCTGCTAATTAATTTAATTAAATTTGCCCATACCAAAAAGTTGGCCCATTTCCCGAACCTTTACTTCGCTGATAAAGGAGAAACAAAGCCTCTGCACTTGACGTACTGAGTGTGGGCTGTAAAGTACAGCTGTTAGAAAGGAGGCAACCTGACAATAGCACACCCAGAGGGCAAGAGGGGGAGAGGCTGTGATGGTGTATACATCTGCTCTCTTTCAGCGTGGGTAAAGGTTTTCAGAGGCTGTGATGGTGTATACATCTGCTGTCTTTCAGCGTGGGTAAAGGTTTTCAAAAAAAATAAAATGAAATAAAAAAATATAAAATAAATATATAAATAAAAAAATATATATTATTGAGGGATAGAAGAGGAATCAACAATAACTGTGAGATGAAGGTAAATCTGAAAATTTAAACAGAATAAACATTTTCATATCTAAATTGATTAACTCAATATTTGACCGGTTTAATACTTATTTTAAAAATTGTATTATTTTATTTTTAATTGGTAATCTAAACATCAATCGCAAGGCATACACTTATTTTTTAAAACAAATATTATGACATTTTTCTGTTAACTAGTGAAATTAATTATTTCAATCCAATCCTTAACATCAATCGTCTAAAAAAGTTTAATGAATTGATTATAAACTGTATCATTGATTATCTCTTAGTTTAATTATAGTTACTGCAATAATTGCTTGACTTTTTGGCTTGACACAGGCAGTGTGTTCAGTTTTGATGCTTTGAAGGCTCAATTTAACCATCAGATAAAATAAAAAGTTTAAAATACACTTTTTTTTCCATTAGCCAATGACCAACTGCCTTCAACCAGAACCAACTGTAAATACCAAGTGGTCTCTTCCTCAGGGGCAGCCACAGCTCTAGTTTGATAAGAAGTTGTTATTACTGATGCCCTTTGTGACATAAACGTCCCAATATAGATTAAAAGTTGGCCTCAAGGGTTGACTCCAACCAGAGGGTGAGAGACCTTCATAAAATCTTCTCTCCATGTTCACTGAAAATACTTTTTTTTTTTTAATTAGAAAATTTGTCTTCTACCACCTAATACCTTTCATCCACTCCTTCATCCTAGGACTCATGAAAGACCTGATGGTGGTAAAACCATTCACACACGACAGGACGAGGTGCTGTGAGGTGACTCACCTGAAGTCCCCCTTGTTATTGTTGACTCTGTCAGTTGGGCAGTACAGTGCTGACGTCTCCAGAACAACTATCTCCATTTGCTGCGAAGTGTTGCCACGGTAACTGGTAACCAGGCACTCCCAGATGCCGGTTACGGTCACGTCTATGTTAGAGAGAATGACCTCGCTGGAGGAAGAGAAGGAGGCAGATTTGAGGGGAGACGTGGCCCTAAGTACATGGTCAATGTTTACATATATGTATATTCTAAGGACATTTTGATTTTACTTTTAAATCTGTTGAATTGAGATAATTATACAGCACAGGAGTGAAGGTGAAAATAACATTTGGAAAAGTTTTGTCAGAGAATAAATTTGTAAAAAACTTCAAATTCAATCGATAATAAAATGTGTGAAAATACAAAATAGAATTCTAACAATGTATTCCAATGATACAAACCAGTGCATTTTAATCTTGACAGTGATTTAGGATGATGACCATTCATGCATGTCTGTCGTCATAGTGATTACACTCTGGGTGAAAAACGACAGATTTAACAAAGGATAGTGAAACCGTGATGTAGAGCCACTGCAGGCCATTTTCTTTGGTGACTAATCTGGAGAGCAGTACTCATTAAAAAGGAGAAGCCAAAACTGATTGCAGGACAATGGGCATTATCGCCACACAGTCATTAACTTTTAAAGGTATTCCTTCTTTATTTTCCAATTCTGCGTCTATTCCTAAGACTAATGTCCTTGTGGGACTTCTTTAATTACTGTGTCTTTACAAGTCGAGGTCCACCACTGTGATAAGTAATGGTCTTTTGCCATTGACCTACCAACAGCTAACTGGAATTAAACTCATATCCCTCTGGTTGTAGTACAGCTACCAAAGCTAAAGCCAACCCAAAAATAAATGTAATTTTTGGGATAGAAATAGCAGAAAGAGCAGATCAGGAATTCAAAGGTTTCAAAAGTAGGATGATTAAAGCCTCAGAACCAGTTTTAACCTTTGGCCACAGTGTGCAGTTTGGAAGAACCAGTTTTAACCTTTGGCCACAGTGTACAGTTTGGAAGAAGAAAGCTTCCCCGCCACCAGAGAGCACCACGGTGGAAGTTACCATAGTGGTTTTGCAGAATTCTTAAAACAGATGACCTTCAGAACACAGCCTAATATGGGTATTTGAGTACTAGATGGTATGGAACCCATGGTGCTCTGGTGGTAGGCTGGGTACATACCACTGCATTAAACTGACCCAGACCAACCACCAAACAAGAGTCACTAAACTGAAATATAAGAATCTTCTAATTTCAACAGCAACTCCCAGGAATTGAAAAAAGAAAAACACAAAGTTCTTCTTTTTACAGTCTTTCTCTTTTGATAATTTCTAGTAGCCATCTGCTGCCACCAAATATAAATAAATAACAATTTTTCAGACCAATATGAAATTGGAAAAAATGTTTCCATGGTACACCTGATGAGCTCTCTGGGCAAACTAATGGCTAAGTCATTGGAAATCATGGGTCTAGCTTAAAACAAAAATTAAATAAACAATGCAAATTCTGCCAAAAGAAGGAAGACATTTTGTAAACTGTTAGAATTTAGCAAACAAATAACAAAAACAAATAAAATACAACCTTATTTTCTGAGTAAAGTATTATGCTTAGTGCATACTGGTCACATGGTGTTGCGGTCACAACATTCAGTACAAACGTGCTCTGCCTGCTGCAGGGTGGATGCAGTGATTGTACCTGTGCCGTTTTATCTAGTTTTACAACAAACCCAGGGCAGCAGGGAGATGTCGGTCCTGACAACTCAGACATTTGCATTTAAAAAAAACAAGGACGTCTCCATAAATGGGCTGGTATGCAGCCTCAGCAGAAGTGCATCTGCTCCAGTCAGGACTAAACTGCTGCATGTTGACAGTGTTTAAAGATGCCTCCCAATATCAGAGATTGGATTTTTATTCAAGACTTTGACTGGCAACCTGTTCCGTCTCCTTTGTTCTGAGAACGCGTGCGCATCTGGGATTGCATGATAATGGAGATGGAGTAAAATATACCAGAACAAAATGGCAGAATAATAATAGCAAAGGCTGAGTTAACTGGATGCAAAAAGAAGAAGATGCAAAACCTGTTCAATCCCTGCTGGTCACTGCTGGTATTTCAGCTGGTTCAACACACCATAGCCTGAGGGATTTGAACCTGCAGTCCTCTAATAACAAGCCTTTTCCTCTTATTACTAGGAAATGAGCTTAGGTAGAAGATTAATAAAAGAATACATAAACTTTGACAAAATCTGATGTAGGTCTTAATGTTTAAAATGTGTTGTTCCATAAATTTAGAGGAGACCAACAGAAATGATGGTTTCTGTTGAAAATAACGACTTGATCAAGTAAGGCTTTGTTTCTTCATCTATTCTTCTCTCCGAAGCTATTTTTTCTCAGAAAGCCTTAAATCATATTTTTATGGATGACTGAGGTGATGATGTGTGTGTGTGTGTGTGTGTGTGTCATTCAGGCTCCTGCTCTCAGGGACGAGTCACTAAAATGACTGTATGTCATATTTACTCTAACATTTAGTTCATGAAAACACTTTAAACTTCAACTGTAACCTCTCCATCTTCACTCGCTCAGTGTGAGTCACACACAGCATCAGACACGCTTCATGCTCTCCATCACCACACCTGCCCATCCACCACTCTATAACTGCAGCTTAGTGACAAAGAACTTCAAAACGAAACTCACTGGGCCGAGAAAAAAATTACAAGCTTCACTGTACTGTTGCTCTGGAAAAAAAAAAAAAAGTGAGAATATTCTGCTTAGATTTCAATTTATGCCTATTGATAAAGCAACACCACATGATGAAACAGAGTGTCATAGTAGCCCCTCTTCCCAGACTCTATTAAACAGGTAAAAAAGCCAAAGAAAATCAGCACTTCAGAGGAAGAGTTTTTTTTCACAGTAGCATCACTGAGCTGGACATTTGTTAAATTCACCGTATTCCATCCTGAATGTTCTCACCATCTGCTGCCAACGCAGCCCCAGGAATCAGTGGAACATTATACTCTTAATGCTACTCACATCAGAGGTAATGCATATACCTTTATAGCCTATTAGGTTTTTTTAAATCTCTATAAAGTGAGGTGAGTTTTTCTTTTTTTTTTTTCTAAAGAGCAGAGGAAGTAGAGGAAGATCTTTGGCTCACTTGTTTGTTAGAAGCAGGAAATGAAAAAGTCAAGTGTTTTTCACTCATGACAATGAACATTCTCCAACCTGGAACACCACAATATTATATAAAACAAAATATAAATATAAATTTAATATTTTGCATTAATTGTTTGTGAAGTTTTAAGTTGTTTTTTTTTTTTACCTTTTTGTTAATTTCCACTTACCACCCCATGTATTTAAACTGAAATTAGTTAATCAACTGAATCATGTTTGAAGACCTTGTCTGCCTCAATTTAATTATATATTTTTTTGTCGTAGTAATACTGAAAGTCTGTGAGTAGGCAGTAGTGATTTACAAAACCAACCATCATTGTGTGCCACTACAAAAACATGTATTTTTTCTCTTCAAAAATGTTCACATTTTTTATTTATTTATTTTAGGCTAATATAATTCCTTTAAATGATGAACCTGAATGCAAGTGTGTGAGAAAAACCTCCATGAACCATGAATAGTCTACAGTTACATCATAGCTGAAGCAGGGCCAACTGTCTGAAAGCTGGGAAACACACAGTGAAATACCTCCCTCCCCTCAGTAGCATTGTTACACACCCAGGCACTCCTCTCTCTCTGTCTGTGTCTGCACCACTAGAAAGAAAAAAAAAAGTTTACTTCAGGTTTTTTTCCTCCTGCTGCCAAATTACATGTGTCCCCAGCAACCAGCTGCACCCAGACAAAACAAGGAAACAGAGGGATGGGACCAGAAGTGAGTCTAGTTTCCAAGGAAAAGACCAAGAGTCACAAAGTAAAAACCAACAAAGAGAATGTGAGAGGCAGTGGGACTTCACACAAAGCACTGACCTACATCCACTATAACACTGCACCATTGTACGAGGCTGCACACAAAGGACTCATTAGGAACGTTTACATTTGCGCACTGATTTTATGACTGAAGTATGACCACATGTGGTCATGTGACCATTGCATAGGAGAGAAATGGGTTGTGTGTGAATACAGGTACATGAGCTTAAACACTTTGGCTTAGTTCAGTAGATGAGCTAGTCTTTAAATTTAAAATTATTAAAAAAAACATTTAAATGAAGAAAGAGCTACTTTATATTCATGAAAGTTATGAAATCGGCCAAAAATTGTTGCATCTCCATAAAGCAGTGGTTACCGTAGAAAGTCACCAAAATGCAATGTGTATTATTCCTTCTTCACACACTGTTCTTATTTCTTTTCTAATTAGCCACAGAGATTAGTTTCTAGATCGAGTTAAACAGTTTTTGGTGAAAACACTGAAGGTTCAAGAGGTTTTTTTAAACTCTCTAGTCATTAACTCCAACCCAAGGAGAGGATTTGATAATATAAAGTGGGACTCTGAACAACTTATTTAAAAATTCCATCTGTGTTGGTTAAAGAAAAAAGAGAAAAGATCTTCAAAGGTAAAGCCTTCAAGTGAGGCAGCAAGACACAATCTGTTCTCTCCCTTTAATAATGCCACAAAAGTTGCTAATTTTCTGCAAGATAACAGTTTAAAATTAAAACTGGAGAAGATTTATTAAAGTTACATGTACGTCTGTAGCTGTGCCTCGCTGTAGGACTCTGAATGTATTATTCATAGAACATGAATCACAGGTTAATGACACTGAACTCTTGGCCTGACACCACTGCTCAGGAGGAAGACCAAGATCGTGGAACTTCCTGCTCACACGGGGCCTCGCCTTTTGGCTTCTACACAGCATGCGTGAAGTAAACAAATCAAAATGCACAACCACGTGTCTTGGTCTGTGTGTGTTCACCCGGTACTGCCCGAAGCAGGAGGAGAAGACTTTCAAGCGCAAAAGGGCGTGAAAGTTTAATATTCATTCAGTATTTGTCGAAGTCATGAAACTGCAACACGGTGCAGAAAATCCAGATAAGAGCTTCAGGACACATGAGATGTGTCCTGTGTGTTTAGTCGTTCCCCTCTGATGGGGCGTAAAGAAAGACTGTGAGCATATCAAGGGTCATTGATCCAAGGTGAACCACTTTAAAGACCCACCATTATGACTCTGGTAGAGTACACTGTGATCAAATGATTATTCACAGCGTCTGTTGAGTCAAAGGCTGAAAACAAGTAACAATTTCTCGGAGCAAAATCAGTAGAGTCACAGAACTGCGACTCCCACCCCAACATGTCTCTCAACACTCTAATTTAACAGCACAAGGCCAAGGGTGAAGTTCAGACCGGGCTCAGCCGAGTGTTTTCTCTGGACAGATTTCTGCTGTGCAGTCGTCAGCTATGAAAATGATGTCGGCTACTTTCAGATTTTCTCTCTCAGGGAGGGTTCTGTCGACGCCAAGAGCAACATGACCCCGACTGCTGCACTAAGGGGGAGAAAATAGTTTTTTTTTGTGTATATGGACGACAGCAACGGGCAATTGCTAGCGGGGGCTGTCATCAAAATAGAAGCATAGAGATGTCCATCACATTGTATTTGACTTGTGTCAAACTCAAGGACTGCGGGCGGAATGGGGCCCGCAGTTCATAATAAAATACATGCTGCTTCAGAGTGCATATTGATCATAAATTACAACTACAACAATGCATTTCATGTTGAGGAGAGATCTATGAGCAGAGATTAACTTGATGTGTTGAGTCATATACAGTAGTTCTGACCTGAAGTCCCTGTGGTTGCTGTTGGAATTTTGAAATTTAGTTTAATTTGAAGTGTAAATGTAAGTGTGAAAAAAATATATATATTTTTTTTCAGGAGGCCTGATCTGTGTGGAAAATACTTTTTAATGATTCAGCCGGTAATCAGAACACAGTCCACTTCCTCCAATGGCTGCACTATGTGGACTCAGCAGCAGTTTATGATAACGATCTATGTTGAATGTTGTTTTTAAACTATCATTAGAACAATCACCTAAAGAGGTTGTGAATTTAAGAGCGATTGTTCCCCCGCAACACTGCTGTAATTACACAGCATGGGAATGTTACACTAAAAACAGGTACTCCAGTTTAAATGTTATTTCAGTCTAATTATTGCTTCTTCTTTTTTTTAACAAAAAAGTTATGCTTTGCATAATCAAATTTTAGCACCTTATACATTATGGCTTAATTATTTTACAAGACGCCTAATTACTGTTATTTATAAACAGTGTTAATGGAACGTTATGGCCAGAAGAATATGTGATAAAAAAATACAATGAAAAAAAAACTCATAAAAAAATGGTAAAACAGAGAATCATTGATAGTACAGGGCAAAAACTCAGAGCAAAGGCATCCGTTTTTGCAGGTGAAAAAAATCAGAAAGAAGCAGCTTGTCATAAGGCTGACTCTGCCGTCAAGGATCTTAGATTAAGTTTCATTATTAACAGACACGTTTATGCCAAATAGGCTGAAGAGTAAGGATAAATCACCTGTGGTCAAATAAATTCTATTATATTCCAAATTTACTTTGGAATTTTTACAATACCAAAGTGCATTTTCTCCCATGCAGTAACCTAATGAGTAGATTGTGACATAAAAACATAGAAAAAGGAGAGAGTGCTAGAAAGTAGTTTTGGTTTCATTAATATTGTCACACATTGGGCATTCACTGTTCGTGCTTAGAGCTAAAAAGAGATACATTTATGCTAAGGTTTTGTTTCAAACGTGACGGTGGTAAGAGAAATGTTTTTGAAGCCAGTGCCTTCAACATCATACGACCGCCTGATAAACACCTGTAAAACAACAAACTGCAGCCAGCAGCACTTCTGCAGCACGAAGACACGGAGACGCCACTGAGAGCTCTGTTTTCTACTTCACAATCCCTTAACCCCGGGCAGTGAATCCAGCAAACGAATCACAAACCTCAGTGTTTGACTTTCTCTGTGATTCCTTTGCTGGATTCACCGGGACATAATGAATACAAATAGTATTGACTGAGAGTGGCGTATGTAGAAAAAGAGAATGGTATACCTTCCCCCTAGAAGTAGAGCAGGCATTCTTGCCGCCAAATAAACCACACAACAAGAAGCCATTGCAGCCCTGTTGACACGGGCAAACATATTTCTGTCAGCATCTTATCAATATTTATGTCAGACAGGCGAGTCCAGAGCAGGCAGCATTTAAACTAATCAACTGCAGTGTGCTTTTGCATCAGAGCACCGCTGCCTGTCGCAATATTACAAATGTATTTACTACCAAACAGCAACAATCACACACGCACGCACACACACACACACACACACCCACCCACCATCAAAGGCCACCCAGAAAAATGAGACAGAAATTGTGAAGGAGTTCATGGCTGCAGTCAGGAAACATTTACAAAAGTCTGAATTACTACTGTGCTTTATCAACACAATCTGTTCCTTTTCAGCACGTGATCGTCCCGGTGCCGCGCCTGCACCGAGGGAGTGGCTCGGCGGCCAACCTCCAGAGTCAACTGCGGATTGCTCCGAGGCGTTGGCACGCCGCCAAACCAATTGTGTCATGTCCTTTCAGATCGCTATCAAGGGCAGCAGTCACAAAAGGCGAATCACGGCTCCAGACAGCTGAACAGTGTTATGGTAAATAAATGAACGTGGGCGGGCGTACTCTACGTATTCTTGTACGCAGGTGTCGAGGCGAGCAAAGGCTTCTCTGTTGGCCTCAATGTTACCAGATTGAGTGACTTATTTTTCAATATATATTTATCATAAATATCATAAATATTTATACAATAATTATTCTGTATTTTGTTGTCATCATCCAATCATATTTCAGCCTCATGTGTCGCCATGTTGAGAGAAATCTGCCCTAAGACCATCAGAATCAGTGAACCTAATTTTAACCAATCAGATTTTGAGTTGGCATCAAGATGGCATTCCAAGGCCTTCTAGCTGGCCCAGTTACGTTGGTGATTTGAGTGATTTGATTGGCTGGTCAGAGAACACAAGGTCTTGAATGTAGTAAACTGCACTGCGACTTATGTGCTTGAAAATGAAGTTTTCTCTGCGTCCACTGCTTCTGTGGGGCGGACATGCTCAGCCAGAAGCGATTTAAAACGTGTGCCATCAATACGACTGGACAGACTGGACTTTCATGGTTAGAGTCATTGAACTGGTCTCAAGGAAACAGAGCAGGACGGGTTTTGTGTACAACTAATTAGAAGTTCTTGTGAGACACATTTTTTATTTTCATTAATTTTGTAATTGTATTGTGTTATTATTAATGCTTTTTGATTGAACTTTGTGGGTTTGTTGCTTTATTAATTATTAATATTATTATGACTACATGAGTCATCTAGGATATAACGACTTGTTATACTACATTTCCGAATAACATTGATGGTCTCCATAGACATAATGATGTCATTAAAATATGGATTTATTCAGGCAGGACGCCACAGAAGACCTAGATGAAAAATGCACGGAATTCCACTGCTCTTACGTCACCTAGAAAGTCAATACATGAGCCCCCCTCCCACCCCACCTCCCCGTCCCCACTTTCACTCTCTACATGTACCTCGTCAGCAAGCAGCAGTCGTGCAGCAGGGTTTCCTCCACGTAGACGCCACGGTCGTCCTGTGTGGTCACGGTGCGACCATTGTGTCGCCAGTGGAGCTCAAGTGATGGATCCACGTAGGAGGCGGTGCACTGAAGGGGGAGCCGGTCACCACGGAAAACCAGCTGTCGTTGAGAGGGAATCAGCTGCAGGACGGGCAACTCCAGAGGTCCATCTGCAAGGTGACCGGAGAATAAGACGAAAAGGTCAAAAACCTTTTTTCCCAGTCGGAGAAGAAGAAAAAAAAAAGACAAGTTGTTATTCCATCTTTCTTTAAAAAAAAGGATACTTACTGATCCAACCAAGGGATCGTGTTATTAAATGTTACAAACGATAAAAATGGCCTTTCTGTAAGAGATTGGTACCACTGAATAATGGAGACCTTCAGTTTATTTTGAAGAAAACAAAAAAACATAACAAATCAAATTTCCAGGGATGCCCTAATGTTCATGTAGAATTCACAAACGAGTAACGTGAACTACAAAACCTGAACGTTTGGAGGACTTACTTTTGTAACCGTCTTCAACAATTAAGGGTTTCTACATTTAGTCTGTGCACACTGCCAAAAGAAACCTTAGTAGGCATTACGAAATACTGTCACGAAACAAAACATGCAGTGCTTTCGGTTCAAGGTCACACAACTTCTCCCCTATCATTCTCACATGTTGTTACTGTTGCTAAGTGAGATGAACAGCAGCTAATAAAGGAGGAGAACAGCCATGAACGCTTCCTTGAACTCACCTTGGACCTCTTACATGACGAGAAAAAAAAACCCTTGTGAGAAAACCAGTGATAGGTTAGATCCCAAAGTCCTTTCTGCCAAAACCGTACGCCAACAGCAATAAATACCATCAGGGGCCTGAGGAGAGGACGCAGTCAGGTGCAAGACGATTTGCATATCAGATATCATAGATTATGTGAACGTAGCCACCATCTTTTTTGCATTCTTTGGATATTTACTTGTAACACAGGGCAAACCAGATGATCATGATCATTCCCATCATGTTTCCTTCATACATTCCTTCCCTAAATATACTCAAAGAGCAGCACAGGCAAGTGCGATGTGTCTCTTGTATTCCAATCAATGGTGGATGCCGTTGCCGTCTGACAGGCAATCCCATACAAGGGTCATAAAGTCTTTTTATTGCCTCATTCATTTGTTTGCAAGGAAAAATCTACTGAAAGCTCCATGATGGGAAATGTAGCAGCATGTTTGCGGCGATTAACATGTGCACGGCGTTGACCTCAATTTCCTGCACAAGTAATTCATGAATGTAGGTGCTTGATCAAAAGTTCCACGCCTTCAAATGTGTCATTAGTATTGGATTTTACATGAAGAGATCTGGGTGTAATTATTGTAACCCAGCCTGATCTGTTAATCCTGTGATAGCCTCAACAGCAGCAGCTAAGGCTTTGTCATGTCCTGCCTGCGACACAAACACAGCAGCATGGGGCCATCGACTGTGGACTGGGCTGATGCTGATACTGTTGAAATAACACTTTGAGCTGAGGATCAGAGTGCTGCTGCTCGGCTGTGACTAGAGCACGCTGCCAGAGCAGAGATGCCTTACGAGCTAAGTGTGTGTGTGTGTGTGTGTGTGTCTTTGTGTGTGAGGAATTCTAAAATTACTTTTCCTGTCCATAACTGTAGGTGAGCGTGGAGCCCTGAGTCTGAAGATTGTGGATTAGAAAAATGGTACTGGGAGTTTGGGGGTTTTGGAGAAAGCCATTAGTCTACAGTACTAATAAATAAATAAAGGCCTGTGCTGGTCCACAGGAGACCTCGGACATAGAATTATCAGACAAACAGAATGGCTACAAAATAAAGAGTGATTTTTTTTTTTTAATTAAAGCGAAGAACATGACATAACTGACTGACTTAAAGCATGGGCATCGACCCTAACCTGCTGTGCTATCACCGGCCATCACTGCCATTGAACAACATGTCTTCAACAATTAGACAGAGAAGAAAAACACATTTTTTGTGCCTGATCTTTAAAAGAGTTCCATTTAGATGTAATGTCCAGAGAACAAGGAGAAAACATCTATGACCAGTCAGCTGTTGTGGATGATCAGAGGAGTGGTTTGGTCCAACTAGCCTGATCTCTCACCTCTCACTGGATATAATCTATAAGAAAAGAGTCACTGATTTAAAGTGTGAATGCAGACACACTATCCTTCATTTCTTTTTTTTGTGCCCCCTCTCTTCCTTCTATCCTCCTCTAACATGCAGTTCTGAGTGTGCAGAGTGATTAACAATCTCTCTCTCTCTCTCTCTCTCTCCTGTATGTGTTGTCTGGAGCCGCTTCATTATCCCTTCCTCGAGGGCCACGGCAGAGGGAGTGTGGCTGAGCTGAAATCTCATATGACAGACTACATTGAGTCACGTGGTATTTGGTGATATTTCATATCATTTAATTATTAGAGGCACATCAATTTCTGAAAAGCTCAGGCTACACACGATCTAATTTACTGACATCAGGAGTAACTGCAGTGCTGTGTCATCATGCAATAAAACAGACATATACATCTTAGACTTAAGCAAAAGGCCCACAGTATTTGGTATGCTATGTTCCATACATCCACTGTGCTGTCACTTTTAGTATGTGCCTTTACCAGGGGTTTCAATATACAACAAAATATCTGTTCTACTATTTACCCTGGACGCCCCTCTGGATTATGTGCTTTGTTAGGTAGGGTTGTTTGTTGAGAAAAACTGGCGAATATGGACCGAGGACCTGGATTTAGGAAGGCGAGGAACCTCCTACTGAACCTTAACCAGCAGCGTAAAAAACACACAGCTGTGGCACGATGAATAAGAGAGAAATCTGGTCTGACCTCAACACAGGAAGCGTTTCCTCCCATCAGCAGGTACCTCTACTACAGGCCCTGCATCAGTGGAGCGTCAGGCTCTCATTTCATGAACGTGTGGCGCTGACATCTGCTACTAATCAATCTGAAACTGACAGAGGATGAAGAAGATGCATCTTTTGTGATGCATTGTAATAAAACAAACCCAGAGTTTAAATTGTGTGGTACTGCTGTTCAGCTCTACTGCTGCCAGAGTCCTGTCATTAATACATGTTTGACAGGGTAGGGCGTAATTGATGCCCTTAACATCCTGCATTGAAAGATGAATGAAAGACACACAGAAACACCGGGGTCACTCATTGTATTATTATTATTATTAATAATTATTAAATTCTTCAAAACTCCATTACTTCCTATGCATATTAACAGTTTCCATAAATAAAAAATATATATGTATTCATAGATAAGCTGTATGATTTTCAATATGGCATGAAGACCTGCACCTGCTGCAGGCAGGGACACATTTCTCCTCATTAATTCTCAGCAAATGTCCTGCATGCAGTGCCTCTTCATATAATACCTCTTCCCGTCACACGTAAGCACCATGCACCAACAACCAGGCCCAGTCTGCCTCTAACCAATGATTTTCTCATTCCAGAGTAATATCCTCTGCAAGAAGCAGATGTAGGAAGAAGAGAGGGATGATTCTATCACGTATGAGATACAATTCCCCTACGGACTGCCGCAACAAACACTCTCTCGGAATTGTAGGAGGCAAAGGAGGCAGAGGAGGCAAAGGTTCATAGCCAGTCAAGATCTTTGACAAAATCATAGGTGGACAAAATACTGTAACTTGCAGTGACCATTTCAATCAATGAGGATTTTCACAGCTGACTGAAAGGCGTGGAACAGTACGTCTGTAATGGTACAGTACATACAGGCAGTTCCAACTTCCAGCATTTGTAACTGATTTCTGAGTATAACACAACAGCAAACACAGCAACAGCTCCAAAAAGTTCCAACAGAGTTAAGTATTAAAAGACAAATCTGCCTGGAGGTTTTGGAGCCTGAAACCTCCTTTGCCTTATATTAGTTTTGTCAAACAGTTCACAGCAGGTGCTGAAATAACGACAGAAAGGAAAACCCATTATCAGTGTGGATCTGCATAATCATGGTCTCACCAAGCTAACCACTCGGGAATGTGACGCCAGTAAAATGAAACTGTGTTTTTGCTAATGAGAACTCACCACAGGTAGCCCTGAAGTGTAAAGATATATTTTATCTGACGGTGTCTTTTTTTTTTTAGTATAGGAATGTGGCTAAAACTTCCAGTTGTTCATCCTGAACACTTGAATCAAATCACATCTTTTTACGAAGGAACATTTTTAAATCAAGAAAAAAAAGATTGAAAATGATTTCTTCTTTGTTTGTGTTTGAGGAAAAGCAGTGAGCCCTCACACACTAAGAACTATCAAAACAAAGTCACATTACACAAAAATATATTCTGGATGAGCAGAGTCACTGAACACCCCTGAAGACCTTTACAGGCCTTTTTGGTTGTGCCTTCAAAAGAGACGGCCTTCTGGTCAACCAATCAAAACTACATCAAAACACACTCTGCAGATTCAAACTTGAAAGTGTGCCACGATGTCCATTTGAAAATTCGGGGACTGCTGGTCTCTGCTGGACTCAAGGACAAGTTCACAAATCCTGGGAATGGAGTTACAGGGATTCTACAAATCAGTACTACTAACTAGTTATACTATAGTAAAAAAAAGGTTGACAAGTAAAAAAAAAAGAGTCCTCTGACATTGGTAACCGTACTCTAACCTCAAGATTTCTCAAAGTTTCTCATATTTCAAATAGTCTTTGTTATCGCTTGGCTGTGTGTAATTAATCCTACAAAAGTGCCAAATTTATTTCAGTGTTTTTACCACATTGAAGTTGTTGTTCACGGAGATGGCGAAACTCTAGGCCATGGAGGCGCGTCGGGAACATACACACCGTTCCGTTACCGATCCTCACCGGCTTCTGCCGAGCCCAGAGGAGCAGCCACTTCAGCTGACAGTCACAGAACAGAGTCTCAGTGTGGAAATGCCTGGTGTAAAAAAACAAACAAACACACAGTGACACAGACTTCCGTGCCGTCCTACATCCATTTAATTAGTCGTGTTCTTTTTAATTGAGTCGTAGAAGTAATTTGTGACGTGTCACAGGAAACAGGAACCTGGAAAAACTGGTGTAACTAATCATGTTACTGTTGATTTCAATCCATGTGAGTGTGTCAGCAGCAGGACCAGTGGACGCTGACTCAGACGGTGTCTTACACACACACACACACACACACACACTCATTACTAATGTTATCAGTTACAGTGTTGCTCCTCTGGCCTTGTACGGTCATAAAACTGAACAAAAATTGACAATAAGGTGTTAATGTTTTAGTTCAACTACTGTCAAATGAGCCGTTGGTGCAGACTGTGTTGGACTTACAGCACTCTCAGAGCCACGAGGTGTGTGAAAAGTCCTGCAGTCAGTGTGGAGAAAATGTTCCCAGATAAATTCCTGTTTGTTGGAAAGTACAGTAAAAGTACAGAAAAAAAAAAACATGTTTGTAGTCAGAACCATTCGAATGTCAGTCGTTCTTCACCAACATCTCTCTTTGTGGTACAAATTAATCATAAAGCAGTTTAGTGTGTGTGTGTGTGTGTGTGTGTATACGCACAACTTTGAGAGGTTGCCCAAACCGAGAAACAGTTCTGGGGAGAGACAGCCAATCCTGTTGTTGGACAAGTCCCTGTAAGGACAAAAATATATTTCAATGAGAAGAACAGTGAGTGGTTCATGTGACTGAATCTATGAATGAGGGAGAGCTGTTAGAGGACTCAGACCAAAGCCAAAGCTGTTTCCTTGCTTCATCTTTTTTTTTCATTAAAACAGTGGGATATCTTTTTTTTTTCTTTTTTTTTTCATTAAAACAGTGGGACGTTTCACAGTTTGAAACATTGTGTGAGTAAATGTTCTGTCATTATTTTATTTCCTGGAGTACAACTCCTGACCTACTGCAGTCTTTCACTCCTCACATAACCATCGCACTAAAACAACACTACGTGCGCCGCCGCAGAGAAGCTGTGGGCTTCCATACGGGTAGCTGAGCGCTGTCATGTCCGTGGCTGTGTGCCCTCACACTCTGTAATTAAAGAGCTGCTTTGGTGGAGCAGCTGTGGGAAAATAAGCAGAGCACAGAGTAATTACCAGTTGGGGAGCACTTAAATTAGAACTCTGCTGCTCCTGGAGCCTGGTGCACACGCGTACCAACCAGCTTGGTTTGGGCTCCACCAGGCATGCCCGCCTGGTTCACAATAAAACAATCACTTTAAAATCAAGATGCTCACGCTGCAGCATGGACTGGATGTACTAACAACAATATTCTAATTTGAATGATTCAATGAACTGACTGGCAGTGGGACTACAATCGTTGTAAAACACCTCGGTCAACTGTTTATCATTAGATAAGCCAGGCGTACTGCCTGAATAATACCAGCTGAAAGCAGCGTTCAACCTGTGTGTTTGTCAACTACGTCTGCTCTGAAGTTAGAGAGGATTTGTTTAGCCCTGAAATAATGTGATGCTGTTTTTGGCAGATTTCACTTTTTGCTCGCCTCTGTCACCACACACTGGTTGTTACAGTCTCTGCTGCTGTGTTTTCCACACTGGGCTGCAGCCACAGCTGAAACAAAGCTGTGAGCCACTGATGCACCGCCGATATTCTTGGATTTGCTGTTGCTCCTCAACGCTGCGTTTTAATCGCTTTGATGGGCCACTGCTCTTTTTGATTTTGAAACCTAAATATAAGCGTTGGATTGGAATTCCAAAACTCCAGGAAGTGTGGTCTCAGCACATTTGTCTGAGTTTAAAGTTCTTTCAGTACTTCCTTCACTCTTCAGCTAAGACACTCACTTACTTTTGCCTCTGAAGCTGGAGAACGTAAACCTAGGAGAAGGCTACTCATCATACTCACAGTCGTCTCAGAGCCGCCAAACCACGGAAAGCCCCAGGCTCCACAGTGCTTATTAAATTATTCTTCAGATCCCTAGGAAGGAGACAGAGAAGAACAGACAGTGATCAGGATTTGGTCTCCATCCATCCATCTATACATCCAGTCAGCCATCAATCCATCCATTCATCTTTCATCAGATCGTTGGATATCTGTGGTTCTGAGTAAAAGAAGCAAATGCTCCAGGGAAAGGGGATTTGTTGTGTTTCTTCTTTGTCTGGGTCCACGACCCAGTGTTTTGTTAACACAGAACACTGTGAAGGCTGTACAGACAAAAAAGGATTAAAGTTCATTTTTACACCTTCCCTTAAATTTTCGGGCTTTTTCATATGAACAAAACAATACATTTGTGACAATTGTTTTGCTGCCCACTAAGAAACAAGTGTAAATATTCCCTCAGCTAAGAATAGAGGAATGACTCAGTAAAGCATCTGGTAGGAAACAGTTCTATTTCTGCATATGGATAGCCTGAAACAACGTAACACTTAGAAGACCAGCAATCGAGCCGTTTCCTTCAAAGTAACCTTGCATCAGTTATCTTGTCGGGACCAACTTTTTCCTTCATGCTCATAACTAGACACCACATTCATAACATGAACATTAAAATATATATTTACTGTTTTCAAAGTAGGGAGATCACTTTAGCCTAGTCATTTGAACAGTGGCTGCTACATCTTCACCATCTACTACGCTCTTTTAAAATCTGTACTAAAAATGGGCTGAGAAAAAAATCTGAAAAAGCCAAAGAAAAAAACAAACATATTCCATGATTCCTTTATCTCTGCACACAACCCTAACTTTGTTAGTGAACCAGACCAGGACCAGACAAAACAGAGTGAATCAGAGTAGAGGGAAGAGGATTTTTAGTGTAAAAGGCCAAAACAGACACACTCTTTGAACACATCATTTCAAACTACATCACTAGTTATAAGAACACAGTTAATTTACTGCCAGTGGTCTCAGTTTGTATTAATTATTATATGTGAGTTACAGGGGAGGAGAACAGTAGGTGCCACTTAGCAACTCAACTCAAATGTATTCATAAAGCTCTTCAAAAACATCACAGTCTGCCGACGGGCTGTACATGAACAAGGGGACACATAAAACACAAAGGCAGTGAAATACATAATAGAATTAAAAATGAAGGCAAAAACGAATGATCAGCCATTCGAGTCAGAGATCTCACACACCTGGTAACCACGCTGAAAATGCAGTTGTTCAACTGTTAGTGGTAGAATACAGAGAGCAGCAGTGTTGTCTCTCACACTGCACATTTGACTGGCTGCAGTTAAAGCAGTTAAACCAAAGCCACAGGTAGATCCATCACTGCTGGTGTTGATGCTAATAAGTTGTACTCCAGGCAGTTGGTCATGGTTTTGCCTCCACTAAGGAGCTCAGTGGATAATGGGCAGGTCGGCAGGCACAGACTAATTAGGATGCAAGTGTAGTTTCTTATTGACAGGCTGGTTAAACTCACAAGAAAGGTTTGAAACATTCACATTTAAAGAGAAATGTGTCTCCCTAGATGAAAACATGTTCGGTGTTATACAGGATGTCTGGCAGCAAGGAATGCTAAAAATGTTATCAATCAAAGTTCAAAGCTGGATTTTGTAATCACATCTAGACTGTATGGACCTCAGAAATATCTGAAACCATGTAGATTTTCAGGAAACACCAAGTTCATCACCAGTGCTCTGTAGAGTCTACATCCAAACTCAGTCCAGTCAGCAGATCGCTGGTGGTGCACATCCTACAGTACACTGTCTTTGATCCGAAGATAACTGCTACAAAAGGCTAGGTGCAGGAAGGGTGTCAGAGGGTCAACCACTTTGCCTGCAGCTCAACGTTTGGTCTTAGATCGTTTTGCACCTCAACGCCCGGTCCTCCAAATCTGCTGAATTTCAGAACTTTCCACCTCATCGAGTCGTTGGGGGCAGAGGTCACTAATCAGGGAGTCGGTGTACAGGAAATGTGCAAGAAGTAGTAAAGTATAATAACGCAATATACTTCACAATGTATAAAAACACAGAGCAGCAGATAGAGCCGTCTAACAGACTACATTAAACCCAGGAGGTTTTCTAAATAGTAATCCACTCCATTCATTAATTCCATGTTGACAGACAATGAATTACCTTTAATGTAAACACTCCTACTGAAAGAAAATAGGTCTTCCCAATTCAACATCATATTATCAGATAACTTACAACATGTATCTGTAAATAAATGGCAAATAATTTAAAAAAAACTGCTTCTAGGTGGGGTTGCTGCATAATGTTGGAGAAAAACAGCCAGAAAGTTCCAACAATCACAGGAAATCAGGGAGAATATTCACAGCATCCTTTGCTAAAAATAGCCGTCTGCCTTTATCTGCAGTGTCTTTTGTCTGCGAACTCCACACATCTTGCGCTACGAAAAAACTTTTCACTTTCATACTGTAAAAATTTGCATTAGAATCTAAAATCCGGTGTGAAGTAGCGGCGCTGACTTTTAAAGAGGTCACCTTCTTGTGTTTATCTTTTGGGAACAGACATCAAAATCCTAGCTGCGAAGCTGAAGCTCCTGCTGCACATGCTGTTCCTTCATTTCTTCCGTGATTTCCTTCTGGTCTAGCTTTGGGTGTCCAGATTCTTCTCAGCTGTTACAGGCCAACTCCACAGACTCATTACTAAACAATTACTGAGCTTTATTTTTCGCGTAGTCATTATAAATGGATGGAACTCTCTTGGGCTGTCTGTGTTCGTCCTGTTTGGGTCACGGATGTCTAGAGGAAACACAGCCAGATATATTGAACTTCTACATTGTTTTTTAAGAAGTTTTATAGGCCTGGGCCATCATTTACAGAGTATGCAAGTCCCTAGAGGTACAGAAAGACATTGCAGGGATAATAATTCTTATACTTCACAATAAAGTCAATTTTACAGCAATTCAAATATAACACTATTTATTTAAAAAAAAACATTTTAAGTTCATTTTTAACATAAAATATTGTATTTAGTCTAGGAAAAATGCGTCTAATTATCTTCTAATTCTAATTATTGAAATTTTCTTTTGCCGTTAATGTAATGGCAGCTAATACAGGGGGTTTAGGAGTAACTGTATCTGCTCTGTAAATTTAATGTATATTATTGTATGTAAGTTCCAAGTTACACAGCAGCTAAGAGCTGAACTCTAGTGTAAGTCAAGGACCACCTGTAATAAATAGTTTAATAGTATTATTTAAATGTTTTAAAAAATGTAAATTTAAATGAAAAAAATAAATTCAGTTTACAGTGATCAGTTTTTCAATCACATGTCAGAGTACAGGGGGTGTTAGTGGAGTGCCATTAACCTGTACAGCCTGAAACTTAGATTTATTATATATATATCATATATTATTATAAGACAGTAAGTGTCTCATGTGTAACATGTCTGAGTCAGTTCAGTCGTTCACAGGTACAGTCTGCCGCTCAGGTCCATGCACAACATGATTCCTGTTTTCTTTTAGATAAGACACAAGAGGAGTTTGAGCAGAGAAAGCCTGCTGACTGCTTATTTCTGTAACATGAGTTACGCTGCAGGGAGTTACATCAGAGTGAATTCAATCACAGCAGTCGTGGGGTGAGGGTGAAGTAGACCCTGGACAGTTTGCCGGTCCATCACACGGGCATGAACAGCCACAAAGGCCCACATACAGTCATACCTACAGTCAGCTGAGAGGGTCAGACCAACCTAATCCTGCATGTTTCTGAACCGTGGAAGCTAGAGTGACCGTGGGAAATCAATGCACTCCTAACAGAATTATCATCAGTTCTCACGGGGGTTCGAACCAGTGGTTTTGTCATTGTAAAGCAAGAGCACTGACTTTCAAATTCTCATTGGAGATCATTTTATACTTCAGATTTGAAGGTTCCTTCTTCTAATACTGGTTTGTTGCAGTAAAACTACAACAGAAACGTATTGCTTCAACTCCGGCCGTCACTGTGTTGACAGAGTCTGAAATATCGACCCGTCTACTAATGTTTACGTGGAAAGTGTTTATTAAAACCATTCATCCAGCTGTTAAATATTCATGGGTGTGTTTGCCAATGCTTGAGAGCAAGTGCATGTAAAAATGTTTTTAAAGAGGGCATAATTTAACAGGGTATTGTGCCCCAGGCACCAACTGCCCCTTCTGTGCTACTTGCGTTCTTTAATTACTTGACATACAAATGTTTTCCTTTTCAAAGTACAGGTCATTGTAATAATTACTGCAGTACATATCACTTAGGTTCTAACAACATGGAGACATACAGTACTGGCTGCTGTCTGTTCTTAGAAAACAAACTAATTAAAGTTGTTTAGTTATGTTTTAAAAATTAAATGTTTTTAGTGAAAATTTGATCATATCACGTGTAGAAGCACAAGAAAAAAAGATCTGCAGTCTATATTATATTATATACAACTTGAAAAAATCCTTTTAATCCTTTAAAAATATCAAACTATCCTGAGGATATCATTTCTGGCTAATAAATTACAATAAATGCTCAGCATACATTGAATCCTGGTGGAGAAGGTGGGAACAGCAGCACAAAACAACAACCATGACAATAAAGTATAACGAAAAGTAGAAGAATGAGGAAAAGAGAAGGAGATCGACCAGTGAGAGACTCCTCACTGACTTTAAGAACACACGCTAACGAAACACCACTGAGCTAAGAGGCATTTTCAATAGGAAAACCAAAGTGAAAGCTTCACTCGCCGGGTGCTAAAACATGCAGTGCCTGCTGATCTGCGGAGCTCTGATTCTCCAGGAACGGGGCAGAACTTTTTTCCCACTCCAGTTTTAAAGATAAACTGGGACTGTGGTACGTTTCAGAAGGCAGAGAACGTTGCATCTGCCAAACCATAACATGAACCACTGAACTGTGGAGAATTAATATAAAGGATTTTGCAATAGTTGAGTCCAAGTTTTCTTTCTATTGTACAAATATTTGAAAATTGGGGCTACTAACGTTAATAATGAATCAAATTTAATTAGGTTAAAATATAATTTAAAAAAATTGTCACCTTTTTTAATGACCAAGAGGTGAGAATGAATGAATGAAAATTCCCAAAAAATTGTTGACCAAAAGAGACGAACAAAACAATGCTAGGGAAAAAAAACAATTCTCTTTGTTTCCCTTTGTTTATCCAGTACATTGATTTAAAAAAACACTGTACTGGATGTAACAGAGACATTTGACAACAGCCAAGTTCAAAGTAGTGAAGTTTAATCACGTCGCACCAATGCATCGGTTAAAAGTTCAGAAATTGTCTTGAACAAGGCTTTAAGAAAGTTTTGCAAACCACATCACCCAGGTTTGTGCATTTAATATATAAATACGACTGAAAAATTGTGCGTACACTCTGCTGAATGACACACGGTGTTCTTATCAGAGAACAGTAATGGCCTCTGTTCTGCTCTGTGCTCCCATGGGACACAGTTTTGTCTGAAGGTAATGAGCTTGTGTCCATACTTGGATTTTAGGCAGTCGTCCAAGGCTTTATTACAAAGGGGCAACTCCTCCTCATGTGAAAACAAATGATCTCAACATCACATTCATAGAAAAATAGAATATTTTTAAGCATTGCTTAAGCATCATATGAGCCCACAGGGTTCCCTACAACTATCAGAAATAAAGAGGAAACATTTTTACTTTCACTACTCATTTCACCCACAAGGACTTGTAGTTACGACTGGTCATATTTCATCATATATTTTATTTTATCATGTCAAATAAATGTTTTTCAGTTGATGGTTACGACTGGTCATATTTCATCATATAGTTTATTTTATCATGTCAAATCATTACATTTTTCACCTATGAAAACGTGAATATTAACTAACTCTGTAGTGCAGTGATCGTCAAATGGTGACACCAGCCCCTGACTGGGTTTCAAATTTGTGAGTATATAAATATATACAGTGTGGTCCCCACTATTACACTAAACACTACCCTGAAAAACACCTGAGAAATATCCATCACTAATTCGCATCATTTATGACTCTATTTACATTCCATTAGACCTTTTGTTTTTTATTTCGTTTTATTTGCCTGTTCAGCCTCCAAGGTGTCTGTCCAGAAAATTTAAGCCCTCCAACAAATATAGTTGCTGATCCCTGCTGAATCCACTTGAACATCAGCAATATAGCACCAATTTATGATGGGAGAGAAAAGACTGAAGTAGAAAGACTCACTCTGAGGTGTCTCAGAAACTGATAAAAGGAATTGAATCACATTTACTAAGGTGCATTCTTGCTTTAGGGGGATTTGGAATCACTGTGTTAATTCATCTAATCATTATCATCATCATCATCATCACAGTCTGTGTCAAAATGTGACCTCATGAGGCCAAATACGTAGTAATTACATTTTTTTGAATGGTTTCACCTCCATTGCCTCGGGGTAAAGGTATCTAAGAGGAAATAATACCTTAAACCTAAATGATCTGAATTGATAGTTAATGCTAATCTAAGCACAGAACTGCATGATTTGGTTAAATGTACTTACTATTGGAAATGACTATATTGCTACATTGGATTCTATTTTGGTCATAAAAGTCTTGTAGCTTAAAGTAAAGTGATTCCAAAGCAACAGTAAGGATGACGCAAATACATGCATGCATTATTAAGCCTGTCAGTCAGTGCAGACAGGCAGTCAGTGGGCTGGGCCAGATGACAGAACAGCTGGCGGCGACTTTCAACTCACTAGGCTACCTGGCATCGGGTGATAGCGACAGACCTATTGCTGCCAAATCCTGCAAGTAGAGGGCGGATGGACAGGTCGTACCCAGAGAGTGAGGTCAAACAATAAATAGCACAGGACAGGCAAACTGCAGCTCCAAGAGGTCGTCCAGCTCAACCTCTGGCTGAGCATCCTTAAAAACCTTGCAATCCTCCTCCAATCCCTTCACCACTGCCAAACAGAGGAGGCGAAAACATTTAGTGGCATTAATAGGGCCCAGGGAGACAGGTGACATCACCACTGGCTTTGACGCGTGACGGCAGACCAAACAGGAGGGAACGAGGGAAAGAAATTTCAATGCTGACATTATTCTAACTGTGAATGTAGCTGTCGAGCAGTGCAGGAGATTGGAGCCACTCTGACTGTGATAACATTCAAACTAGTCACTGATGAAGGTCCTGTGTGTGAGCCACAGCGTAATGTGTGTGTGTGAAAGACGAGTGTGTGCGTGCATACGTTATAGGATGATCGACTGAAGTGGAGAGAGTTATACTGTGATTCAGACGCTCTCTGATTCCTTCATCATCAGCCATTGTCACTGTCACAGCTCGCTAAAAACGCAGCGATCACGATGTCAGTGCAAAGGCGAGAGCAATCAATACTCCGCTGCTGGCGGTCGGGCGGCAGAGCCTGGCCGTCATGGAGCTGATAGGAGTTTTCAAGGTAAGGTACACCAGGGGGCGCTAGGAGGCCCTCAGAAAATAGGAATAGGAAAATAAAATAAAAATGATGCTTTTATTTTTAGTGTTTTATAACCACTTGTCCTGAATCCTACAAGTGTGGCAGCTGCACACAGCCTTTTCAATTTAAACGGGGTTATGACAGCTTATTACTCAGTGAAAATAAACGTTAGTTCATCATTTAATTATGCCAAAAAAGTATGATAATAATTGAAATGTGAATCAAAGTAAGAAAATAAATTATAAAAGTTGATGTGTCTTTACATATTTTATAGCATTGTCTGTGAGTTTGCAAAGGGGGTCCACAGGACCTAATGTGTTGTTTGAAGGGGCCTCGGCATAGAAAGGTTCGGGGACACTCACGCTGCCTAAGCTCTTGGTCCTTTTCTGCAATCAGCCTTTTTAAACGATGCCGTGTAGTAGCCCTTTAAGGGCAGTTATTGTGGCAACTCATGTAAAACGCGGGGTCGGAAAGGTTAAAGCACCACTGGTTTTCCTGCAGGGACCGCCCGACCTAGTAGCTCCGACCATGGCCCCTTGTGCTTGTTTGCTAACCAGCCAAAGCGCCGCTGTGTTGACAGCTATTAAAACTCAGCAGAGGACAAAGCACTGAACAGATCTTGATTTACTCACAGCTTTTCCAGAGCAGTCAAGCCATAGAAGGAGCCATTCCTCAGAAGTGAGATCTTGTTGTTACTCAGGATTCTGGAGCAAAACATGGGAGAAAGTGCAGACAGAATAAGCACACGGGAAAATGATGGACGGTAGTTACGGTACAGTTCTATACACCGCAGAAACACAGCAGCTTCAGCGACCAACTTCAAATTCAAACGAATAAATGCTCTGCCCTCTGTAACAGTCAAATCATTTCATCATTTACACAAACAACTTTCATTTGGTTCGTGGCCATTTGCTGCAAAAGTTGGCAGTGATCCAACACTCTATTTCACACTTTCAAGAAATATAGGTCAGGACAGTTTGACCATTAAATGCCTATTTATGAATAAACAAATTAATTACAAACACTAAAGGGAATGAAGAGAGATAAATAAACAGAAATAACAAAACAAATCTAATTTGGTTAAATTAGATTTGTGGACACGTGTGTGTGTGTGTGTATGTACAGCAGTTAAACAATTTTGTTCAAATATCAAACATAAAACCTGCCTTTAGTTCCACTAACTCTGCATTTTTTCACCCTTATTATACTATTGTATGTAAATGTAAATTGTTGTTACTCAGATTCATGGTATCTGAACAGCACGAGGTCACACAGCTCAGCATAGGCTTGTTTACCATCTAATAGTTTAAGAGAACCAGAAGTGATTAAACTTAACACACACACACACACTTCTTTTCTAACTGCTGCTTCCTGCACCCAGATCTACCACGGTTCACTGTAGAGCTGCTCTGTCTGGATGCTGTGGGCTCAGTGAGGTGACCGTTCCCTGCATGTGTGGTTTGTGCTCATCTCCTGACAACATATTAGCGCACACACACCTGCACAAGGTCATTTCCTTCCATCTTCTTTTAACAAGCCATGTTCTTGGAGTGACTGGCCAGGTTCAGAGGAAGAAGGGTAATTGGGACATGTCAACGGTTTTCTCTGTGACGACACAGTGCTTATTACAGCTGCAGGAAGCATATATTCAATTTTAGCTGCAGGATTAGGAAGTGCCTTCCCACAATGCAATGTGCTTAAGAGGCAAAATTTGCTAGGGAAAATGAAAGGAAGCCATCAAACTGAAAATGTCATGGTGAAAATGAAAAAGGTTTAGAGTCAATCTGTACACTAGAACGTGTGATAATAATGTGCAAACATTTTCTCCATCAAAACAACGAGTCTCTTTGTAAACATGAGTGATTTTAACATTTGCAATTAGAAAATTAATTAAAAAACTTGAAGCTAGACAAAAGGACGAAAACATTTCAAAGTTTAAAATCTGAAGTAGATTTCGTTGTAAATTCTAAACAATATATTTTGATACGAAATCAAAACCTCTGTATGTGAAAAGGGTTCAAAGGAATACAGAAACATAGACTGAGGTTATTTTATGCCACTCAATGTAACCATTATCCTGCATAAAAGTAGTATTCAACTTTCCTTAAGTAACATAATCTATCTCTGGAGGAACAGCATGAGGACAGGAAGTTCCTTTTCAACAAAAAGATGGGACATTTTCTCAGCAATTTCGTTTCAACATCTAAGTTTCTAGGCATATTTGAGATGCTTGCTCAAACAAAATGTAGTCCGTAAGTCAACATTTTTCACAGATCAATAGAAAGAATATTGTAGTTTTCACAGGTGCAGAAAAGTCTGTGAGACTTTTCTAAACACTTTGAGGCTGTGAAAAAACAGCAGCAACGGCAGCAGCTCCTTTTAAAGCTATACACAGAGATGAAGAGACAAAGAAAGATGAAGTAAGGGTCGTCACCGCTGAGATCATGGGATACCAATACTGTCACTGTGTTTTGTCCTATGGCTTCTCTGTTTTCCCCAGACCACTGCACCTCCCTCTGTGGACAGGCGCCCCACTCAGGGACAGGCAGCCTCTGTTTGTGCAAACTCGAGCGTGTCCTGTGTTTTGCTATGCTGCCTGCGTGTGTGTGTGTGTGTGTGTGTGTGTTCGCTGACCCCTGCATGCCTTTCTCAGGCCTCTGCGAAACATCCAGGAAATAACAAGGAAAACAGAATTGAACATTATGTAAACAGTCCATGAAAAACTTGTGGAGAGAGCATCCAACTCTCTATTTATTATCAATCATGTTCCTGCAGATGGGCTGAGTTCACTGACAGCTGAGAGGAAATAGATTTTTGAAAAAAGTCGAGGGCTACAGTGAGCTGACCGAGTCATTTTCTTTGCTCTGATAGGCCAGATGTGTACCGGCTAATACGTCGTCCTTTCAACATTTTACGCAGCAAAATCCAATCTCTCATACATGTGTAAAGAAAACGTGTCAAAATCAACATATTACTGACATTAATAAAGCAGTGGAATTAATCAGATCATTTTTTAGCATCTGAACAGAATTACACAGCCAATGATCTCACCATCCATCCACTAATCATTGCCTGTACACACAGCCAACAGACACATCATCACTGACACCCACTGCAGAAAAGAATGTTTTATTTCTAGGAAACATCTTGAGATTAAAATACCATCTCAATGCCTGGCATTGCCTGGTGTTTGTGGAGGCTTCAACTTCAAACCAGCTTCACCAACGCACAGCAGTGAGTCAGTCTGAAGCTGACAAGATGACTCTCCAAACGGATGGTGGAGGACTCAAGATCCACTGATATTTTTGAGGAGTTTTGAAACCAACACTCGACCTGTTGCCTCAAGAGGCACAGCAACAACTTCGTTATGCAACTTAGAATTTTCCGTGACATTTTTCATTGCTAATTATTACATATAAAACCAACTGTGGATCACATACATCCACCTGCTGTCAATGTCCATCATATTGTGGAAATGTTAATGATTAATCTCAATAATAATTTAGTCATCATCAATCATGTGACCATGCGTGTAATGTTAGCATGTTTAGATTTGCTGCCATATGTATCAAATATAAAACTAATAATCATTTAAGCCCCCAGGATCTGTACAAAAAGACAGAAAATACAGAAAACAATTCATACAGTACTGGTGTTTTGAAGAGATTAACAGTATTAATCAATGGCGACCACTACATCTTGTCATTTCTGTTGTTGGATACATAGCTGGTATGCATGCATACTTTAACAAGGCACACTCTGGGCTGTGGGCTGAATAAAACAGAACAAATTACTTGAGCTCATGTTGGGCTCTTGTAATGATTTTCCATTATCTCCTGACATTTTAGAGACACAGTCATCAACCAATTCATTAACAATAAAAATTATTTATAGCTGGAAGCCTGATTTAAATCATAAAAAGTCTCAGTATAATTCGTTCTAAATATTATGAGGCTACAGCTAGGGTAATTAAACAAGTGAGTGAAAATCACATCAGTTCTCCATCAAAACAAAAGCTCTGGCCTTTCCCCTCTGCACACAGTTGTCTCCAAAAAAAAAAAGCAATAAAGTTCAGATAAAGTCATCATTCTTAGACAAAGTTACAGGCCATGGTGAACAAGAAACATTGAGTTATATTATTACAGACTACAGAAATAACAAATGTCACCAGAGTAGAGGCAATCAACAGCACTAATCAAGAGGACCAGTAGAGTAAATATCCCTACGTGGATGTTGATGTCAACCCATACTCACCTCCAGTTAGACCACATCTGTTTAAACACCAGTGCCCTATTATTTTAGAAGATCGAGTTACCACACACACAGTTAACCAAAATAACACATTTCATATCAATAACATTGATCTCAGATAGTAATTGGCTTTTCTACAGAACTGCGTTTATGTGAAGCACAGCCTCAGTTCATGTTGATCAAATTTTATCTGACATTAAAATGTAGTATTTATAATTGTAAACAATGGGAAATCATGCAACTTATTCACTGAGTATTAATAATATCTACTATTTCTGCCTGCGAAAAGTATAGAAATATTCATCCTGGGATATTCAAGGAGTTGCAAATACTGACAGAAGGAGTTTTTAGCCTCACTCCACAATTGTTACCATTAGAATTAGAATATTGGACAAATGTCAAGGTAGGAACCAAGTAGCTACGTACATGAGCAGGCATAGCCAGGAGGTACCATTAAAAACATCTGATACTGTACTTCCAAACTACAATTTCAAATATTATCCAATAGGCCTTGTAGACTTGCAAAACAATGTAACAATATAAGTGACACATCCTAGCTATTTAGTTGATACTCTGCCAAATGTAGTTAAAACAACCATGACATGTAGCATTTGTATGCCATCAAAACTTACAGCTGTGCTAGGAGGATATTCCCCCCTCAGGCAGTGCTGCTAAGGCTGATAGCTCACTAGCTCCAGAGTAGCTGGAAAAGTTACTGGGGCGGTTGTCTTTAATAGAAAAAGAAAAGTTTTTTTTCAAATGAAACAAAAAGAGTTCTACATCAGCAAAGATTAGCATTTCAAACTGCTGGTATTTTATGAAGGTATTCCATGTGGCAAAGGTTGGTAGAACACCTGCCTCTACAGCACGAAGATCACACGGTGCCACAGATATATACAAACACACACACACACACATATATATATATATTAAAATATATTAAAAAAAGAATTGGCAATTCGATATGAAGAAACAAAAACATTCTATTCTTTACTCCCTATGAGGTGAATACATTCACAAACATTGCAGGTAGTAGACATCTGGCAGGCTAGGAGTCATTAATTCCAGTATACCTTGGCAAAAGCTTTGAATACTTAATTATTGTTTGGATGAGAAAGAGGGATAAAGTTAACTGACTGTGAGTGAAAGATTTGTTTACTTCAGTCCCGTACTGTACTGTATATGTCAGGATTCTTGCAAAGCAAAAGTAAGCAAAAAAAAGGGAAAAAAAAAACAAACTAAAGGAGTGACTAAATCCTGTCCAGGCTCCTGTGAGACAGAAACTATGTTAATTTGTACCCTATTGTGAAAAGAAGTAGACCAGATCTCATTTGTCTTAGAAATGAGTCTGGAAAAAAAAAAAAAAACAGAGCCCCTAACTGGCCATTTTTGCTTTGTCAAATTTATGATCTTTTAAGTGCCATTGGAATTTACTTAGTAATGGGGAGAGCAG